CGCCTAAACCCACGCCCAAACCCACGCCTAAACCCACGCCCAAACCCACGCCAAACCCACACCAAACCCACGCCAAACCCGCGCCAAACCCACGCCCAAACCCACGCCCAAACCCTGTGTGTCTGATTTTGAATTCAACGCGGGTTCCGCGTTGAAGCATTGAATTCGCGTTCAACTCCCGTTCAAACGTGGGTTGGACACGAATTAACAGGGTCCGCATTGATTTTTTTCCTGGGCTAAACGTGATCCAAAAAAAAAATAAAAAAAATGGGGGGTTGCAGGTCTTTTAGAGGATTACAACCCTATACTTTTATTTTTATTTTTTGGTGTTTCAATATAATTTTTAAAAATAAAAAACAAAAACACACAATGCAAAAAACAAAAACTAAAATGAGACGTGTTTTTTTTTGGGGGGGGGGGGAAGGGGTGTGTCGGGAGATAAAAAATTAGGGTCACCTATTCCTAATTGAATTTTGTTTTTTTTCCTTTTGAAGGGCCCTCAGCCGAGAATCTGCAGGGCTCCCATGTCCCACCTGGGATGTTCGTCGCATTTGAACAAGAGAGGAGCAGGCCAGCAATATATCTTCTAGATACAAAGTCTGGTCTGCGTTCCAACAGTTATGGGCTACAACTACTTACTATTGTAGCTCTCGCTTTCTTTCGTTTTCCTTTTCCTACGAGTAGCTCCACTCGTCAGCACTTGCACAAAAGACAAAACATATGGCAGTGTGTGATGCCATGTTCTAGAAGAAGATTCATTCGAGTTTTGAACTCTTTTTTTCTATTTATTTTTTTTTGCCCCTTTTCGTACGAGCTGTGGCCCTAAGGGCCTAGATCCACTCATCAGCACTTGTACAGAAGACAAAACATATGGCAGTGTATGATGCAATGTTCTAGAAGAAGATTCATTCGAGTTCTCTTGTTTTTTGTTTTTTTTTTTCGTTTTCCTACGAGCAGTGGTTGCTCCACTCGTCACTACTTGCACAGAAGACAAAACATATGGCAGCGTATGATTCTATGTTCCAGCAGAAGATTCATTCCTCTCTTGCTTTTGTTTGGGTTTTTTTTTTTTTTTTTTTTTTTTTTTTGTTTTTTTTTTTTTTCGTTTTCCTACGAGCAGTGGCCCTAAGAGCCTTGCTCCACTCGTCACTACTTGCACAAAAGACAAAACATGTGGTGGCGTATGGTTCCGTGTTCCAGCAGAAGATTCATTCCTCTGTTTCTTTTGTTTCCTTTTCCTACGAGCAGTGGCCCTAAGGGCCTTGCTCCACTCGTCACTACTTGCACAAATGACAAAACATGCGGTGGTGTATGGCTGTCTCTTATACACATCTAGATGTGTATAAGAGACAGCTGCAGGGAAGGAATTTGCCCCCGTGCAGAGCCTATTTG